GCTCTCTCAGTGTGGGCCAGCAGCCTGGAAGTTGAAAACTGGCCCAGCCTATTTTCACTCTGAGCTGCCACGGAGTTTAAACATTTGGAAACTCTATTACCATGTGCATCTTTAAACCAAAATTAAGTGCTTTTCTTTTTTTCCTTTTTTTTTTTTTTTTTTTCCCTTCTTTTTTGCCATGTGAAGCTCAGTCCTCAAGGGAAAGTGCCGGATTCTGCACCTGGGATGGGACAACCCTGGATGTACAGACAGACTGGGGGCTGAGACGCTGGAAAGCGGTGCCACGGAAAGGGACCTGGATATCCTGGTCAAAGGCAAGTTGAACATGAATCATCCAAACCCTTCCAGGCTTGACTGCTCTGTGGTGAGAAGACAGGGGCCTTGACCAAGGGTTTTCCAGTTGTCTTTGACAACGTTTCCTTCTGGGGTTTAATCCCAGCCAGCAACAAAGCACCACACAGTGATTCACTCAATCCCCCACCAGCAGGGTCAGGGAGACAATCAGAAGCATAAAAGCTAGGAAAGCTGTGGGTTGGGATAAAGACAGTTTATTAGAGAAAGCAAAAGAATGAATTCTACTCCAGCCAAAATCAGCACACCGTTTTATTTGTGACTTTTAAAGTGAGCCTTTCAAACAAAAAGTGATACCCTGAGCTCCAAAGTAAGCTCCAGAGTTTGGGTGATCCAGCAGTTGTCCCTTTGGAGAAGAGATCAAACCGTGCTGCACATGCAATGTGAATATTGGCACAAGTAAAAGAAGTAATTTGTACTTTAAATGACCCTGGATGTTTTCTCTGGAAACACTGCTTTTCCAGAAAGAGTCTTCTGGGTTCATCATTATTTGGTGACAGCCCAGGAAGGAGAGAGAGATCAGAAATGGGTGTGGCTGGTTTGCTATAGAAGTTTACTACAAGTTATTTAGCATTTTCCACATCTCCTTGGGCACCTCTGTATAATCAAGCACACAGAAGTTTTCTGTTTATTGATGCACTGCTCATGAGGCTTTTACTTAAAATATCTATAGGATAATTCCATTAATAGTCTTCCTATCACTTATGCTGGTTCTCAGCTACAGTAAGAGGCTTGATTTCCTTCCTTATTTTGGCAGGTCACTGATTTTACACTTCTTCAATACTTTGTTCAGTTCAGCAAGCAAATACAGAGGACATTTTTTTTTTATTTATTCTACAGAATGCAATAATCTATTGGGTTAAATAAATTGATTACAAGACATATGAAGTAAAAGCACTGGTCACCCTCCTTTTGATTTAGATGACCTAGCAAAGTTGATAAAAACACTAAGAATTGTATAGGCATAATCAGAGATAAAAAAAGGTGTGTTTTTTTTTTTTTTAAATAACTTATTATTACTTTTTTCTTTCTTTATCTTGGGGGCTAGTATTACAAGCACTTATAACATACATAAATGTATATATGAAGACAAAGGATACCATGAGCAATTCAAGGGCAGAAGAAGGAAAGGAAAACATATTTTTCTGCCTTTTTTTTTTTTTTTTTAGGTTGATTTCCAAAGACGATTTCCACCTTGATCCAAATGATGTCTGTCTGCTGTTGAAGGGTGTTGCATCAGAAGTCTTGGGCAGAGACGTTGCTCGCAGGAACGCGCTAACAGAGCAGCCCAAAGGTAAGCTCTCAGTTTTCAAGCACAAGTTACAACAGTCTGTTCATTCATTCTTCACAGCTCAAACAGTGTAATTGTCCAAGAAGTAACTCCTGTTGACTTTCCTGTTGCAAACCCGTGTTCTCAAACTCCGTCGGTCAATATTGCCTTGTACGCTTGTGTGTACTGACAGGGGGGCGGGCTGGGAGATGTGAGTGCGTGTTGACACAGTGCTGCTGGGAGGAAAAGGTACACATCTGCTGGGAGAGTCGTGTTTAACCAGAGGAGTGGCATTTGACATCATGACTTGTTTGAAATCAAGTGCTGCAGCTGATTCGTTCAAACGGCACCGTGTGAGATCATCACCCCTGTTCCCTGTCTTTGCCTTGCTTGGTCCCAGCAACCCCAAACTAAGGGCTCCTCCTCCAGCATCCACCTCCTGGGCAGAAGGATGTCCTCTCACTGCTGAGACAACACCACAGAGTGCTACAGGTGTCCTTAAATATATTATATCCTTGTATTTCCCGCAGTGGGGATCGCTGGGATCAGTGAAGTCTGAGCGAGTTCAAGTGAGTGTTTATCTGCACATCTAGCCAGCTTCAGGACTGTGCTGAGGACCCTGCTGCCAAAGGTTGTGTTGACCCAGAAAGGAACTGGAGTAGATCCAAACTCCTTTGAATCCAGCTCTCTGATGTATCCAAATTAACAGGGCAGCTGCAGCAATGGTGAGTTTTGAACACAAGGTTTTTTATTCTTGGTTTAATATCTGTGCTTGACACTGTGACACCCATCTCTTGCACAGTTTTGTGGTTTATGGTGTTTCTCTTGCCCTTTACTGCACAGTGTTATGACTCTTGGGTCAGTGTCTGTAGAGAAGGGTATGCAGAAGATCTCGAGCAGTAAGAGGAGGACTTGTTTCTCTTTTCCTTTTCTTTTCCTTTTCTTTTCCTCTCTTCCCCTCTCCTCCCTTCCCCTCCCCTTTCCCCTTTTTCCTTTCCCCTTTTTTTTTCCCCCTTTTTCCTTTTCCCTCTTCCCTTTTCCCTCTTCCCTTTAATATTCTGAAACATGTCCTGGAAAGGAAAGGAATCCATGAGCTCACGCCACTTCTATGTTCAACAGCTCTGTTTGAGAGAGCACTTTCCCCCCTCCAGGAAGGGGGATGAGGGATGTGTTTATGGGTAAGGATGGCTGTGCACGGCAGCAGAAAATGTGAGCTCATCACATCTTTCCTTTCTTAAACAAGGGCCTAAAAATACTTCCAAAATCCCTCTCTGGGAGACACAGAATACAACTCCTTGGCCACACAAGAGCTGAGTGGAGCTGTGCCTCTGTCCAAAATGCTTTCAGATTTATAGGCCATGTGGACGAAAATACTTGGAAGGAAAAAGGAGGTTTTCAAGGATTATTGATTCTTTGCCTTATTCTGGACAGATAAACCCATGTGTAAGAAGAGAATAGAAATGTGTTTACTCAGATGAGACATTTGACGTGACAGGCAGAGCCAAACTCACCCTACATGCTGTCCAATCTCTGTTTAGAATTAAGATCTGTGATATAGGTAGTAGCTGGATTCTAGAAGTTGAGCAGAGGGTTTTCAGCCACAAACATAGTGTTGATTGTACATCGGGTTTGTGTGGGTAGTCTGACCCTTTTCCAGTTAAACTGCCACAGCTCATGGAGGTTTTACAGGGATTAGATTTGTCATTTGTATGTTCTGTTCAAAGCTGCAGGCTTTGTTATATCTTAACTGTTTGTTAAGTACACAGGACAACCCTGAATGGATCCAGGTTAATAATATTTACAAATGTTTGTAACTGACAATAATGACTTCATATCTGTGTGCAGGATGTTACATGTGAGGTTAGATACAAGCCAAAACCAGTAATCAGTTCCAAAACAGCTTTTAATAAAGAGAAATTTTTGAATTAAAGTGTTTAGAAAAGTGTAGAATAAAGGCAGAAAATCTTTTTCCTATTAACAAATGATATAAATCAGAAGATATAAGTAAGTTGAAATCTTCAATCAATTTTTATATAGAAAATATTGCAGTTAAAGCACAACACTACTGGAATATAGGTATTAACTCTTCCTCAGCTTTTCTCTCTTTTATAGTAAAGAGGAAAAGGAGGCACTGAAAAATTAAATGACCCCTAAAAAAAGTTTTGTTACACTATGAGTTCATGCCATAACTTTGATAAAAACACTTCACTATTTAATAAAGAGGAATTCAGTGTGGCATCTGAATACAGGGAAAAAACCCACACTGCTCTGGCTGCAGTAAGTTGTACGTAACATAATCTCTAATCAGAATCCAGAGCAGAGGAAAAAACATCCTGTATACCTTTTGGAGGTGTTCTCTTTTATTTGGAGTAATAAAAATGGATTTGTTGCCTCTCTCTGTCATGTGCAAAGTCTGTAACTACCTCTTGTGCTTTGTGGTTTCTAGTCACCAAGACCTCAGGTCTGTGCACAGCATCTGATGGGATTCCTGACCCTACCTGTGACCTCTACACTGAGATTTATTTATCATCCTGATGCAGAGAAACATTAATAGGATGCATTCTCTGGTAAGTTAAGTCTATCATTTCTGAGCTTATGGACTTGGAAATGTAAGAGAAAAATATTTGTGGCTGTGATGGTCATGACATGTAGAGCAGGATATAGAGAATATGACATCTGTTCAATGAGATCATGTATTATATAGTGCAGTCCTACCTTGAAAGGTGTGTATTTAAAACCCACAGCACTGGGTTGTTTATTTTGATGGTGAATTTTAGTTATGATTTATTTTTCTCGTGCTGCCTTCCAAGCTTTCTGGGGAGGGCAGGTGTGTATATGTGGAGGCAAAGGAAGGCATTGTGACATCCAGTCAGCCCAGCAAAGTGACAATCTTCCAAGCCACTTTGCACACTGATTTTAAAAAGGCAAATAAACTGACAGAGGTGGCAATTCCATTTATAGAGCCACAGACCAGGGCACGGGTAGATTTTAAATTGTTATGAACAACACATCTCTTAGCTTATAGAACTCAAAAATATATTTATGATAGAATCACAGAATGCTTTGGGTTGGAAAGGACCTTAAAGATAATCTTGAAGGTCAGGGAGACCTTCCACTATCGCAGGTTGCTCCACCCAAGCTGGCCTTGAACACTTCCAGGGACAGGGCATCCACAGATTCTCTGGGCAACCTGTACCAGGGCCTCACCACTCTCACAGTAAAGAATTTCTTCCTAATATCTAATCAAAACGTCCCCTCTGTCAGTTTAAAGCCATCCCCCTTGTTGAATGACAAGCCCTTATCAAAAGTGATGTTAATTCCTGAAGACTCAATGGTTCAATGTCATCGTTGTTGTTGTCATCGAGGTTAGACAATCTACATTTTGTTGCTTCTAGTCCCTCTTCAGGACCCCCTTCCTGAGGAGCCTGAGCCTGGACAGGACCACATCCCAGTCTGCATAGGCCCCTTCCAGGTGACGTGTCACCTCCGAGCCCGAGGGGTAGCTCCGGCGCCCGTGGAGCACGCGCCAGTTATCAAATGTCACGATGTCACCTGGAAAGAGATGGCACGAAGGTCAGCCACTGAAAGTTAGGAAATCACTGAATTAAGGCTGGAATGCCCATTTAATTTTTCTCCCTTGTGATAAATCTCTCATTAAATAACAGCACAGTCTTTCTTTGCTTCTCCCCGTTCCCTCTACCACCACTTTGGTGCATGAGTCGACAGGATGAATGTCACTAATGGGATGTAAGGTGCTTTGTTTCACTGGATCTTCCACATTATTTTATTGCATCTTTCCTCATAGACATTTTAAAGACATTAATTTTATAGGCATTAATTTCCCCACAGACATTTTAAAGACACGTCACAGTACGAGGCAGTCAGATACACTCATGAATTTACTTTCCTAACATCTCTTGAGAGACAAGGGACTATTCATATCTTTATTTTATAGCTGGGGAATGAAAGAAGAGATATATTTCCCATCTGTGGTGCTATTGATATATTAATTTCCATTACTGTATGTATATAAAATATAGTTTTGGATGCAGCATAAAGATACGCTGGATTAATCATCAGAAAGACTCTTTTCTCCTGCTATTTTTACTTCTTTATAATGTAACAATGGCAAAAGAAATCTATGAGATGGGCATAAGACTGCAGCATGAAATAAAACAGTCGATAGGAGGACTGAAATTTCCTCTCAGTTCTGGTGCTAACAGTGCTCAAATGTTTTGACAGCTGGGAAAAAAAGATGTGAAAAACTGTCGAGAGGAGAAGCAACTTACTGACCTGGTTCCAGCTTGTAAGTAAACTTGTGTTCTGCACTGTTTAATAAATCATTAAATTCCTTTAGAGCTGCATAGAATGGCCTCACTTTTTCAGCTGGGATGTCAAACACGGAGTCTCTTGTTGCATTGTTATAATTGATGCGAACTGCTTGGCCTCTGGAATCTATGCTGTGAGACAGAGGCCAGGAAAAAAGGCAAGGAAGGGGAAAAGGAAAGAGGAAGGGGAGGGGAAAAAGAAAGGAAAAGGTATTCTGTTATTACTGAAACATTGTAACATGGTTAAACAACAACTGAGCTTCTAATTACCACTGCTCCTTGCAAATAAGTGGTACAATGCACAGAACAAGTCATACATTGACAAAAAAAACCAAAAAACCAAAAAAAACCCCCACCAAAACAAAAACCCCACCAAAATCCAAAACTACAGACCCAGTTAAACCAGTGTTTTCCCACAAGGTGGCAGGAGCAGACCTTCTTCTACCGGAATGCAACCCACAACACAACAGAGATTTTCTTTTTAGGTCTTGTTAGGTCTTGTTTAGGTCTACTCACTCTATAATCCTTTGTTTACCGTGCACAGCAAAATCACAGTAGTCCACCCCAACGTCAGTATAGTCTACAGCAGTAGAGGACAGGATCTGATACGCCTCAGGATTTTGTTTCTTCATCTTGTTGCATACATGGAATCCATCTACCACTTCACTTTCACCTCCTGCAGCCGTTTGCTTTATACAGTGGAGAAACTGAACCTGGAATAAATTAACGGCTCATTTTAAAAAGTAATTAGCTTGCATATTTAACAGCTCATTAGTATCAGTTCCCTCATAGCTGTGGTTCTTTTTTTTTTTTTTTTTGAGTTGTTATTGTTTTTTTCCCAGTGAAAGCCTGAAGTTCCCATTTACTGCAGCTTCACAACACTCTGCCACCACTACCACAAGGGAAGAAAATTAAAGCAGCATGTTCATAAATCCATCCCCTTTGGGATAGGCTCTAATGGTTGCAACCTGTAAGTCAGTGGCAAAGTGGTCTTGCTTTTTCCTTTGAGTCCCTCTTTGTGGCAGTCACACAGTTCTAAATGCATTGCTGTCTTATGTCAAAAAGCAGGATTAGCTTTGGCCTGCAAAAAAGATGGAGCAGAAAGCCTAAATTGGGCTCCAGGTTGCACTGGTGGAAGCCTGAGCTTCTTTTTGCTGACACAAGCAGCAAAACTCCCCTAGGAAATCCTAAAACAATTTTTATGGGACAGTTCTGAAACTAATCACCATCCATTTAAGCACAGCTCTCCACGTATTTGTAATAAACACGTTTAAGGAATTCAAATATTGCGTAATAGCTGGATATATAAAGAAAACTGCACATTTGGGACAATGTCCATAAACAATTCGATGTACTTTAATACTTTTATTTACTTACAAGCATGTTTGAATGAGAAATGCTACGTTCTTTTTCCCATGTTTCATAGTAGAGTGTGAGCTTTGGCACAGACAGGACAATGAGATAATTCACATCTGCTCTCTATTAATGAAGGGCTGTTCCATTCTTACTCTACATCAACAGTATCTAAATGATGAAAAGGTAATTTAGTGTGAAGTATTTAGAACTCACCTGCGGGTAAATCACACTGGCTTTGTCTTTGAGCACAGAAACAACAAAGTACTCCCCAGCAAGAGAAGGGCAAGTTTTATAGCTGCAAGCTTTTCCAGCATTGTCTTCGTTTCTTTTTACCTGTTCCTACTACTTTCCAGTTCTCTGGAATTATGTGAATTATGTAGATTACACTTTGATGAGACAGAGACTGGGTGAAAACATTTTTTTTATGGTTGTCCAGTTTTAAAGAATGGCCCTTTTTTTTTTTGGTCTGTTATGAAAGGGCAAACAAGTGTCTATCTTGTATCAATTCACAGAAAACAGAGTATACCATCTTAATATTTCTTCCACTATTCCCCTCCTGAACTGAACAGATGACTCCTAAAATGTCACAACTATAGCATTTAGACACCTAACTTATACAATATAATGAAAGCAGTATTCAAAGTACATACAGGACTCTAAAGTTTTCTCATATGGTAATATTTTCAACACTTTGTGAATTTAATTTAATCACTACGGGACATATAAGGGGCTTATTGTGCTGAACTTACATCATACTGCATATATTGCATGCCCTTGTGTATATATTATATATTATATTGGCCTCACACTAATACATTGTTATTTTTACATTCCTCTTTTACAAAAAAAAAAAAATTTCAGAGTCAATGAATGCTCACCATATTTCCTACTGTAGTAACACTTCCCTTTCCCCTTCTGTGGGCTGAAAAAGAACTCACCCCAGGTGGATGATGCAGGACTGGGTAATCGGTGTGGAAACTCAGTTTCCCAGTTGTATAAGCCACGTTGTTGGCATCTGCTTTGTCTTGCACTTGCCACGTTGGTCTATGTAATGAAAAGGGAAAAGGAGAAAACATGTTGGAACAGCGTGCCAGGCAGTGCTCACTGCAACTGTGAAATCACAGTAGGAAAGAGTAACTGCAGCTTTGAACATGAAAACATTTTAAAGTTATATAGAAATAAGGATTTAGCAGTGTCCCTCTACCCCAACAAAGGCTTTTATTTCAGCAGTCCTGGATAAACTTCGCTGTGCCAAGGGATATCTGCCCCCAGTGTTGCACCTAGAATAATGATGGCTTTCCAGTGCTAAATATAAAGCTGAAGACATGAACCAAGAGGCTTCTGCCAGGAGAAATCATCATCTCAGCACTGAGGCTTCAGAAATAAGCAAGTTGAAGTTGGTCCATTTTTTTTTTTTTTAATCAACCTTTCACTTTCCTCTGTCACATGTAGCACCTTATCAATGAAATATTAAATTGAAAGTGCAGGGTATTTATCCTTGCAGGGTGATCTTTCCTTTAACTCAAAGACTTGCTGCTGGAGGAAAATGTCTGGATGAAAGACTTTGAAACTTCATCCCTTTCTCTGACAGTCTCTAACCCCTTTTTTTTTTTTTTTTGGGGGGGGGGGATACATATAATTATGAAACTCATTTCCCCTTGTGAAATACTATAGACCAAATATATTATGTTTCAGATGGTGTATGTCTAGCTTTACTTCTTAATAACAGTTTAAAAAGAGAATATGCAGAGAAAAATTATTTATATACAGGATGCAAACGCTTCTGTTTGTCGGTTTTGAGTGTTATTTACTGCAAAAACTATGCAAAATGCTGAAACTACACCTCTTCACTTGCCAGAGGGAAAAGCCCCTTGAATATCTGCAAATCTGTTTAACTGCCTGGGAGAAATAGTTTTTATTATTTGGTACAGCAAATATTCATCACTACATGACCTCACTACTCAAGTATGATAATTTCAACCATACTTTCACAGTTCCCCAGTTTGACAGCCAAAAACCTGCCCCCTATATCATCCTTGTCCTTAGTGTTGAAGGCAGCTAGGTTTGCTCCATCTTTAATTGAGAAGCTGGAGAAATTAATTGTGCTACGACTGGAGTTCATGGAGTTGGGCCTCCCCAAGGGAAAGAAAAAGGTTAATTTAAAAGCATGGAAACCCTTTACATGGCTGGTACAGAGAATGTTTCCACTTTTTACAGTAATGACATTTCAGGGAGCTTGCACCAAGCACACATCTAGACAAGAAAGAAGGTTGTTTTTTTTTTTTTTTTTCCCCTATGTGTCAGAATTATATTCATTTCTGTTACATTTCAGTTTAAAATTCATGGCCCTGAGGTAATGTTTTATTTGGCAAGCTTGCCAATTCCAGGTTTATCCTTTTATTTATAATATTTGGTAGGCCTTGTATTTGGCTGCCAGTGAAATAGCAAGGAAATTACCCAAAGTTGTTGTTTTATTACGGTTGTAAAAACCACCCTAGAACTGGATGCCAATAAGAAATTAAATTCTGCTCCAGAGCTGAAAATTATCACAAATATTAGCTAACAGCACTGCTTCTTTACTCAGCTAGAGGGAGGTCACTGACTCAGCTCAGCAAGACGTGAGCTGCCATCATCATTTATCTGCTCACCTAGGAGGTGCTTGAGGAGGTAGAGGTTCAGTTTACCCCCTCTTGGCATCAAAAGGATGATTCACAAGTTCCTGCTTGCCCTCCTGCAGCTGAGCTCTGCTTTTTGGGGTCACAACAGCATCATCTAAGCCTTACCTATTTCCCTGACTCAAAATCAGACTAAGAAAAAAGTCTCAGTACAGATAACTTCCTCTTTTCAGGAGGGGAATGGATTAGGGATTTTTGGTTTTATTCCATGATCTAGATAAGTAAGTTTCTCTTTTTGTTATCTTGCATTTGACATCTGTTTTCAGGGGCTTTTCCTTCTCTCAGCAGTTAATGTTATTGCTGCCCTTTTTCACATCTTTCTGCCCTGCCTGTGACAACAGACTTTCTAATATACAGAGAAAAAAAAACCCCATACACCTTGCTTTAATAGCTTAACTCACAAAATAAATCCAGCAGGCTTAAATGAAGAAAATTAGAGGTGATTACAAACCTTGAGAGGCAAAGACATTAAAAAAGAAACTCACCCATAAAAAGTGAGGCGCAGGAACCCAATCCTGTGGCCAAGTTTAATCAGCTCTCCCTGCCTTGTGGCAGCTCCTGTCAGCAGAACGATTCCGACTTTCTTTAGGGTGCACAGCCACTTGTAGGCACTTTCATCACTGTGCATGATTTCTTCAAAAGGCATTTTGGGAAGCTGAAGGTCTGAGCCCCAGTATTGGCGTTCTGGAAGGGAAGAAACAGAGAAACAAGTGCTTAGCTGTTCCAGCATCAAAACTCAGCACATACTGTTACAATAAAGATACATCAATCACATCTTTATCTGGGTTTTTTTCCTTGCTTTTATACATTTAGTCTGAAACAGCTAATTCTTAGGAGAGTGCACTATAAAGCAGGAAAAAAAAAATATTATCTATTTCATAGAATAATTGCTTTGTTTGAATCACAAAACCACCTTACCTGGCATTTTAGCTAATATACAGTTAACTTGCCCAATCATCAGTCACAGAGATTACACACTATAAATGAGACCATAAACACTTGAGAAATGCAGATGGCACCCTTTATAAAACACCTATAACCTTTCTTTATGCCAACATCTCTTCAAGGGACAGGGCCAATGAAAATGATTACAGATTCCAAGGAGCTTTCGAATGAGAGCTCTGGGGAATTTCACCTGCTGACAGAGGGACATAATACACTTCAAACAAATGTGGAGGCCAGGTTTGGGGGTTCTTTTTTATCATCTCTTTCCAGATATAGGCAGCAAATACAAAATACAATTTGCTCATAAAAAATTGAAGCCAAACACCGCACAATGACAGCATTTTTCAACCACTAGTGCTCCTTTTTTCCCTTGGCCACTGCTAGTTAGGGACAGTCCAGGAAACTATTCACATAGACCATCTTCTATACTCTACCTGTGGTTCAAAAAACCTGAAGTATGATTGACATGCTGTTGAATTTTTAATGTCCAAAAAATGAAAAATGTGCAGTCCTTGAGGAATGACATAAATCTTCCCTCACTGCTCCACCCTGTTTAATCCAATATACACACTTTCACACACTTGAAGATGGTGAAAAGATAAAATACGAATATTTTCTCTTTTCTCTGTTAAAAGTTATGAAATTGAAGTAGCTCTAGGTATGCTGTGTGAACAGCCACAAACACCCTTTGAAGGACAAATTCAAGCTTCGCTGTCAGTGCAGGTGAATAGTTACATGAAAACTAAGATTCCTCTCTTCCATCTTAGTTTTCTTGCTGCCGTCTTGCTAATAAATATTTTCTTTATCTTCCTGAAATGAGTAGAATTTCAAGGAATATACCAAGAGATTTTTCCTCGCTTTGAAAAATATATATATATGCCCCTGGAATTTAACTGCAGCTCCAGTAGTCCCAGGGTACATGGACTGTCCTCTTGTTCAAGTTCCCAATGCCTGTTGCTCTTGTTAGAAGTTCCACCTAATGTGGGATGGCCCTTACAGTACCACTATGATGTGGAAATTGTAAAATTCCCAGGAAACTGAGCTCTTCTCTGATATTCCCCAACCAGGTACTAAAACTGAGCAACTTTTTTTTTTTTTTTTTTTTTTTAATGTGTAACTACCTTGCATTTAAGAAACCTCCACCAAACAAACAAAAAAAAACCCTTCAAAACACCAACAAAACAAACAAAGCTAAAGAGACATAAATACAGTTCAATCCTGCCATAAACTGTCCTTCAGATTTTCAGTTTTCTGATGTAAATTCCCTTCTAGTGACACCCTCAGTAGTTTGGGGTTTTTTATCTTTTTAAAGGTGCAGGCTGGTACACAAATGCTTTTAAATCCCATTTCATGTTTCAGACAAGAGAGGCTACAAGTTCCCAAGGTCTGCACTAAAATAAGCAGCATTTATAAAGATTTCCTTCTCCTCAGCTCCAGATGAAAGTGTTGTATTCTGTCTAATACTTACAATTTGACAAATTATAAGGCCCATAATTATTTGGACCAGTATTTCCTGGTGGTAATTGCTTCCACTCATGCTCTTCATTATTTTATCCAGCCAGCATAGGAGGATTTTGCCTACTGCTCAAGTGCAGTTAATAAAGTTTATATTGTACTACAGTAGAAATATTACAACATAGTCTCTGAAAGCTGAGGAGGCAAGAAAGAGAGGAATGAACCATCAGCATTTGCGTAGCCTTAGGTCTCACTTGCACAACACAGCAGCACAGTGGCCAAATTAAAAATCTTTGTGTTTACAAACGTAGCTGAACAGCTCAGCAAGGCATAAAAACAAAGGCCTTGTAGAATTAGTTACTTTTTGGTTTTATTATGACTGCTAAACCCCCAGATTTTCAAACTGGGAAAGAATTAAATACTTCTGAAAGAATTAAGGCCTCTTTCAATTTCAGAACAATAATTTGTGGGGGGAAAGGAGAAAAAAAGAATCCTATTTCTTGACCATATCAGGTCAGCCATAGTAAACCACCTACATTAAAATCTACACAAAAAAATCAGATGTCGTCCTTGGCCCAGTCCCTGCTGATGGTGTGCATGCATCAACAAGCACCTGGAATTATCCAGCATTTACTATGCAGCCTGAGACAGTGCTGATCAAAACCTTTTTATGCTGGAGTCATACAGGAAAGAAAGTCTAGATATCACAGATCAATTTATTTCATCTAAAATTATTTTGTGCTTTAATGTTTGTTGAAAGCTAAGTGCATTTTGCTGTATTGTTATATGTATATGTCAGCCTAACTCATGGCATTAAGCTCTTATTGATTATCACTGCAGAATAAATTCAAATGACCGAACTCTTGGAGTAAAAATATTACATTTAATTTCGTCCTCTTAAAATTATTATCTCTCAGAACCTAGCAGAGAAACTGAAAGCATCACTGATGCTGTTAACATCCTGATTTAAAATTCAGTGGGAGCTGGATATATATCCAAAATCATATTATCACATTTTAAAGGACAATCATCACCTGAAACCTTTAAACTTATGCTAAAACCTTACCCTACCCTAGGGTTAAAAATAGTAAGCATCACTAGGTGCACTACCTCTGCACAGTCTTTTCTTCTACTCAGAAGGAAAACATCGTCATATTAGCTAATTTTTTTCCCCCTCACATCCTGCTGTTGGGAGATGCCAGCACCTTGGAAAATGAGCAGTGAGAGACTGGATACTGGCACACTCAGTGTCTCTCACAAGCACCCTCCACTCCCCACAGCATCTGAGTCACAGCGGTGCTAAAACACTCCCGTGGCATTTGCCGGGGAGAACAGAAGTAAACAGGAAGGAAAAGGAGGGTATCTTTGAGGCACCGTGGCTGGAGAAGTAGAATATGGCTCTTTTGCTGTTTTTTTTGGGAGTATTTTGTGATCTGGGCTGGAATGAGCCTCGATGTACACAAACAGCAGATTTTGCAGATTGCATGACGGGACCTGGCAATGTTTGAAAAGGAGAACCTTGACATGTTGCCACACAGCTACTTACAGTCACTTCCCCGTGCACTGAAAATCTGACCTACTCTTCTTTTTGGGTTTAATACAACTAGGCTTTTTGAATCAGAAGCTAGGATGGAAAAACATTTAAGAAAAGAAAAAAAAAAGGGAAAAAAGCAACCTTAAAAGCAAGTAATCACTTGCAAAAAGAAAACAGAAAAATAATAGCCACTGCTGTGATTATGTCAGCAGTGAAGGTTAACCTTTAACTACAGCAGTCTGCTGGGCTTGGGTTTCTATTTGTTGAAGCAGCATACAGGGCTGGCATTCCATATCATTGTCTGCAACACTACACTGCTGGGATGTGATTATTTACTTAAGGGCATGTAATTTGCACTGACCACAAGGAAGAGAGTTCTAAACTTACCCCCAGTACACAATGAGAAACAGATCTTAGCCAGCCAGCAAGTAAACTTACAGGCTGCAGCCTTTTTTTTGCAGCTGAAACCTGGGAAAGTTGGGAGAAGCTGCCCATTATAATGAGCCAAGACTTTTTTTGAGAATACGAGGAAGAGCAGAATTACACCACTAAAAAAAAGCCAGTTAATCAGTGTAATTTTTATAAACATATTTCTTCAGATCTACAGAATTTGAAAAACCATTGCCCAAAAATAAAGCAGATCTTTGGTGTAGATTTTTTTTGCCTGGTTGGCTCCACTGAAGAAGAGCAGTGGCAGAGGGGAGAACTGGCTTCCAAAACATGAATTGTAGTTAGAAACCAAGAGTAAGCACTGTGCAAATGAATGAATGCATAGGAAGGCAAATCACAGACAATTAGAACTTCATAACAGGTGAAAAAAGTAGCATTACATCTGAAATACTGAAATCTCAGCTATTGATATCTTTGCTAACAAATATAACCAGAGATCTAGATTATTTTGCCTGGGTACTGACTAAAGCAATGTTCAATTTACGTTGGTCCCTCAGAGGCCACAAAACATCCTGCTAGCTTCCACAGCATCTTCATTTTTACAAATAAAAATTCAACTCCCTGAGAAATCAAGCCTGGTTTCCCTGAATGAGGTTTGCATCTTCATCATGTCCCGTCTGGAAACATGCCCAGCCTTCCAAAATAGTAAACACAGCAGTTTATTGTTGCCAAAACTAAATCAGACATAAACTTTCATATTACCAGGGGAAAAAAAGTTCCATTTTGAACTGGGAAGAGTCTGTTATAGGATCCACTAAAATGAATGGAAATATTACCCATCACTTAAATTTTAAACCAGATATAAAAGGCTGGCTTTTGTTTAGGACAACGGGTGCTGGGGAATATTTGACCTGCAGAAACTGGGAAACATAACTGGCCTCTTCATCTGTCCCTAAAACACCAAACAAAGCGCAGATGAAGGATGAATTTAGGGCCACATTTCTTATCTTTCAGGGAAAAAAAATCACAACACAAACCAACTTTCTTTTATTTGTTAGAATAGAAACCTCCCCCCCCCCAAAAAAAAAAAAAAAATTAAAAAAAGGGCATAAACCAACTGTGGATTTGCCTTTGCTAAGCTTTGAGGAAACTGATACCTGGATCTGAGTTTCACACCATCAGCCAACCTCTAGTTTCTTTTTCCTAAAGCGATATCCTATTTTAACAGATACTGTCTTAACCCTGAATACAGATGCACAGCTTTCTGCAGCAGCAGATCTCACAGGAACGCTGCTAAGAGCAACAGCAGAAATCCTGCAAGTTTTCACACGTTTCATTCTCACAGTCTTGAAAGGCTGTCAAAGGAATGGTGGTGTGCATCGTGCCAGTCCCAGTGGGTTTATAATTATTCACTCAAAAGGGTGAGTGATTTAGAGTGGGTAAATGTCACAGACAAGTTGCACAAAATGCTTTGTGACCAAAAGACTGTCCACTACTGACACGTGTATGGGATGCAAAGCAAACACAGCCTGAACTTCAGCACTGCACACTGATACACTGCACAGTTACTTTTTAACAAGGCAGCCAAGGAAAGGGGGAAAAAAAAATAGTTCAGCTGTAAGTCGCTTGCAATTCTAAATAATCTTTCTTTTTGGAAAAATTTAGAAAAAAAAAATTAAATAGTTTAAACAGCACACGTGCCCACACTTGCATCGTCACAGAGACCACTGTGGGTCCACAAGGCTCATTTGGGAGGCCTACCAAGCCTGCCTTGGAAATAAAAGGCTTTTAGGAAGGTAAATGCAGCCCAAGCAGTTCTACTTCTCTCAGGGTCCCTGTTGTGCACGTACAGCCTGGCACTGGGCACCAAGGGGGGCTGACACTGCTCCAGCTGGGTAGACCTCACACAGGCACCTCTAGCCAGGACTGTTTTGCACTGGATACAAGCATGATAGACAAGGATTTAATTCCTACCTGGTAAAAATAAATCTGCTTGCATTTCTGCTCTGGCCTCTTCAGAGAAGCATCGTTTCTTCAGCCACTCGGCTTCGTATTCGCTCGCGTGTTCATCGGGCCACGTGATGGAGATCTTTCAGCACAGAGCAAAAGACAAGTTTAGAAGGAAAAAAAAAAATTAAAAAACATCACCTAGAACTACAAAAAATCCTCTCAAAAAATGCAGAAATTTTAATATTTAGAGCTGTAATGTTACAATCCAGCATTCCCTGGAACGTGACAGCAAACAACTAATGAAAATGTAACCTGAACATCATCCAAATTCTGACACCTTTTATAAATGCTCATTTTCACATGAATCCATGACCTAATTTGCTGTTTTGTGTGGACTGCTTTCACTGTGTTTAAGAGGAAGAAGGAAAAAGGAGAAGCTGGCACATATCTCTGGGGAGAGCACTTCACCACAACTCAGAAGAGTGAAAATATCTTGCAAAACAGACAGCTTGTGAGAAAAGAAAAAGGAGAAGACAGACAGAAAAAAAAAAAAAAATCTAGGAGAGAAAATCCTCGCCTACTTCTGAAAAATCTTTCCTCTTTCAAATAAATTTTTAAAAAGTGTTGTTCTTCTTAATTCCTGAAAAAAACAGGGAAAGAAAGGATATGGCTTTACTTGCCATGAACTGAAAGAGCTCAGTCCAGCACAGATCCTCAGCTGAATTCTCAGGGCTGTTGAGTAGATACCAATCCCCATTTCACGTAATTCTGCTCTTTTCACATGATGGTAAATCACCACTACCAGTTTAGGATTAGTGCTGTGCTTTCCCCTGTCCCTGAGGGGAACAGACAATCCCTAATTTTCCTAATCGAATAATGAATTTACACTGTGTTAATTCTGGTAACAAAAAATGACCAGGGTTGACTGCTGCATATTCAACACATTTAAAACATCTTTAAGTGTAAAATGAAGGAAATGAGTTTGCCAAAGAAGCCAGATACTTCTTTTGATGAAACATATAAAATCTAAATGATATATTGGGGGTTTATATGACAGGAAATATTAAAAATCACAGAAAGGGCAATTCCTGTCTTCTCTTGCTCAATAACCTCCCCCTTTTCAGAAACAAATGTTAATGCAGATGGGTAGATACAGACACCAGGCCAATTTTGACTATTAGATTCAACTTCAGTTTGAGTGCTTCTTCTAAGATGAAAACTTTCCACATTGGAAATTAGCTAAAAAACTAGTATTTTTGCTACAGATTAAGTAGTTGTCACTTTACCATCTGTTTTTCTAATTTTCAAGCCATTTACTTAAAGAACAGAGAGGAAAAAAAAGCCTAATTAAATGTGGGGGAAATGTCTGAATTTTCAACATCTGGGGATGAAGAAGCACATGGTAGAATTTTCAGAAGCATTACCATATGATAAAAGCTGAATCCTGGGTTTCTGCAGCCTCTGTAAAGTGACGTTTCATTGGAGGGCGGGGAGATCCGAGTTCCCCAAGTTGCCTTTTTTTTTTTTTTTTCCTAAAAGCTTTGCAAATTACCCGGTAAGGTTTGCAGAGGAGCAAACCGTGATGATTAGAGTGTAAATTGGAGTCGTCTCTAATTTGGGTTAATAACCTTATTAGACAAGTTTCACAAGAAGGTGAACGACGCTTCAAATACCTTTTTTCCATCAGCCAGGGCAACCTCCTTGGCGGCGATGCTGACATCCAGCTCCTCCAGGGGCATCCTGCGCGCCCCGGCGGAGCTCAGGAAGCACAGGGGACACCGGCAATTGTCCCTCAGCCACACGCAGGGGTAGCGGCTCTCCCTTCCATCCTCCCATTCCACAAGGACGAAATGGCCCAGAGCTTTCACCTTCCGTATCGCCGGGCTCATGCCGAGCTGCTGGGGGGGTGTGGGATCCCCGGCACGGCTCCCGGAGGGCTCCCGGAGAGCAGGATCCAGCCCTCCGCCTGCAGGGACTTTGGCCCTCAGCAGGCTGTTTTCACCCCCGCCCTCGTTACCAAACAGGTTATTCTCCTTTAGAAAAGGAGTGTGTGCGGCAGTGAGGGAGGGGGAAAACGCTGAGGGGATGTCTTAATCCGTGAAACGGCCAGCAGCTGATGGGAAAGCTCCGGGTGATGTCAGGAAAAAACAAACCGGATTTTTTAGGGCTTGACACGCGTCGGTGCTCTGAGACCTGGGGGAGGGAGTTAACAAAGCGTGGGGGAGAGGGATATAGCTGAGAACTGGACACCAGGAATGCAGAATTCATATAGACTTGATGGACGTTTTGCAGAAAACAGAGAAAAACTAACAAAGGCAACACAGCAGTTCAGTTCTACTGAAACTTTCCCTATCTGAGAAAAAAAGATAATAAGAAGACTGGAAATGTGGATTAATTACCATGAGAGGTGAGAAATCACTAACGAATACAAGACAGAATACTAATTAATAAGAGAACTACCTTCTAGCCAATCCACACTCATTCCTTTGTTTGCCAAAACCATAGTTAAAAGTATAAATAGTTAAAAGTTTTGATAATTGGTGTACGTGCTAGGTGGAGCAATCCCCCGTGTACCTCAGTGCTGAATAAAGATTAACTTTCTAACCTAACTAACTGGTTGGATAGTTTATTTCCCAGTGTTTGGTGACAGTTCTTTAATGAAACCATCAGAGGGAGAACCTCATTGCAGAGTTCCTAAAACACCACGAAGAGCAACTCCTTACTGAAGGAGTAAGGACAGCCAAAGGACAGTATAAAGACAATTCTCCTCTGCCTTCCTACTTCCCTAGACCTTCAGGGACATTCATCATCTGCTGCTCATAAAGGGTGTACTCAGAACCATCTATTCAAAAATCCTCTCAGTGTCATCCATCATCTTGGCTGCCTTTTGTTTCTGTGGTCTAACACCCATCACACAAACAGTTTCTACAGAAAAGACACCTTGAAACGAGCTCCACAAACCAAAAAGTAGGAGCCACTACCAACCACGTTCAAAAGGTGAAGCTTTAAAGTACACACATCTTAATCCCAGCTCTGGATTCTATAGAATAGAATTGGAAAAGCTTTGTAACCCTGACTTTAGCTACAACAACAGAGTTCTCTGAGAGTTCTTTTCTCCTTTCACTTAGACTGCTTTCTATAGACATACTCTTTTATTTAAAGCTAGCTGCACACTGTACTGGAGAAAGATGATGCCTCCAAATCTTAAAAACATGAAAGTTCTGGTCTAATGTTCTTCTTATTCAGAAAAAAACTGGGGGGAGGACCCCCTGAATCAGTAAGTCATCACATACATATTTTAATAGACTTTACCAGCTGCAAATATTGCATATTTATTCAGCATCTTTTCCTTTTCTTTTTGTTCTCAAGCTCACAGGGCAAAATATTGATGCTGCACCAGGACCAAAGTCTCCCCATCTGTCTTTGTGCATGGAAAACTTCCTGGGCTTCAGTGTTTTGATTCACAAAGGCCTTCTGGAGTTAATTTTTTCCTTTGCTACAATTTTGAATTAGGTTACACAGGGCCCTTGGGCCTCCTTTTGTTTTTATTTCATATGATTGAGCACAGCAAAGCAGAATACTGATTCTTTTTCTTGCTCATGTCTGTGCACAGCGGTCCCATTGGAACAAAGTAATTACCAACCTTCACTTGCAGTGCAGTCAAGCTAGTTTTGTGCACACAGACCCAGACACCTTTTATCCAAAAACGGGTTCATATCCAGACTGAATGTATTCTTTTTTACACAAATATGTCCAGAATATTCACATGTAAATGCATATGTGCGTATTTCCACCACAATTCTAAAGCACTGCCCACGCACTGCAATTTTCCCCTGACTGTATAAATATTTACACTGCAAGAGGGCTGCAGTGTCCTCCTGAGATTTCTTGAACAAAGTTTTATTACATCTGATGGCAAAGCTGTGTTACGTTTTAGGGGTTATAAACAAAAACAAACAAAAAAACCCCAAACAAAATCACAAAACCACAAACAAAAAAACTAACCAAACAAAAAGGGATGACCATTTCAATATGCCATCACATTTTGCTACATCTGTTCGAGGTAGTGGGTTACCTGATGGTAATGGGTCGCAGTGCCTGACCCCTGGCCAAAGCTGAATTATCCAGTGCAAAGCATGGCACTCTCACATCCACTTGATTTTATTAACATGCTACAAAGCACGGGAACAACAGAAATGGTCAGATCAGTTTATTCCACCTGTTTTTCAACATATCCAAGCATTCTCCCCAGAACCAGCCACCCAGTTCCCTTGGGGATGCAGATGTTTTTATCTGTGTGCTAAATACCTGTAGGTACTCCTGCTTAAGACAAGACCATGAGAATCAGAATTTGTTTCAGAAATTTAAGGTCAAGCTCCTCTGGTTTACTAGAGCAGGGGGGGCAGGGGAAGTCCAGATATTTGAGTATACATATTAAACCCATCTAAGTGTTTAATTTCAAAGTTACTCCACAATGTGGTTCATGCAGTGATTACATTCTTCTATCCACATAGTCCACATAAATTTCTCATCTTAATGAAGTGGCTTACCAAATATTTTTAGTATTATTCACATGCTTAGTGTTTAACCTAAGCAAAAGGCTCTTCTTTAACTTTAGCATGGCAGTTATAACTAACTGGATTTTGTATATGAACTTATTATAAATATTTTTCTTCAAAATGTCAAAACAAGGGACAAGAAAAAAAACATTAAGCCTTTACTTTTTGAACGTCTCTCAGGGAACAATTCACCAATAAGTTTAAAGCCCTGTAAGAAGCTTGCCAGATTTAAAGGGCTTTCAGAAATCTATTTTACCATTCAGTTAAGAAATCTGAACTTAATTCGAAGACAGTGCTAATAGAAAACCACACTGGAATTTTATTTTATGGCAATCAACTGAGGTGAGTTTACTGTCTCCTTATCACAAATGTTACTTAATTGATATTTGCTCGCAGAGTAATAGGTAACTCAGTCACACAAAATCTCTTTTGTCAGGCAAAATCTCTTCTCTACATCTGTGACAATGAGTTTTGTAAATGCTTTGTTAACAAAAGAAACAAGATGCAACCAATCCTGATGGGCAAAATTTCCATATTAAAAAACAAATTAAAAAAAACCCCAAACAAAACAAAAATCACACACCAAACTTCTGAGGGAGTTTCTGAGGTGAGATACATGTAATTTAAGTTACAAACGTGAATTGCCACCATTGCTTGGATGAACAGCTGGGTTCAACTCACGTAACTTCAGAGATGAACAATCGTGACTTACACCCGAACATCACAAGGAGTCCCAACATTTCTGTTATCTGTATGAACCCAGAAGACAAGACATGTAACTCTGCTTTCAGTTATCAGATCTTAGATTCGCAAAGTTTAAAACAAACACAACCAGTAGCTCCTGTAAGTCCCAGCATCTCATCTGAACATCGTCCCAGGCTCATGGATTTTCTGTCGACGTTGTCCCCAGCAACATGTCAAGGGGTCAGCCTGAACACAGACAGGCAATTATGATTTAAGGTGAACCACATTACCTGGAGGCTTAACATTTTTTTTGTTGTTTGTTTTAATAATTAAATTGAGAATCCAATGGATTGATTTGTTTAAAGTGCGGAGAGACAAATCAAGTTGTGTCTAAACAATATAATTACAGGTTTTCAATGAATGAAATCTGTTATTAAAGTAAAGCATGTATAAATCCCGACCTGGCTGTCAAGAAAAAAGAACCAGAAGTAATTTTCTTTGGACCTTAGGAAAAAAAAAAGCTGTACATACACCAAGAATAGAGTTTTTTTTTTTTCCCCAAGCCAAAAGGGGAACCTATTGAAGTATTATAAGCTTAATAAGGGTGTGAGAATTAAAATACTGCTAAGTCTCACTCAGTAACAGGAGCACTCCAAGGTGTTTGCAAGGCTGGGTCTCTACTTCTATAAACAGTGCACAAGTGGAAAAGTACCTCATCCAAGTGGAAATAAAGATAAACCAAACTGCCTTCGTGGTAACATAATTTAGTAAAATCTGAATCATTAAGGTTGTGCTTGTATTTTTTGTGTTTCTACAAGAGAAAGAATTTTAAAAGAGGCACATTGGAAGTGCTATATAATGAAAATATTGACCTTATTTATTTTGCTGTGCATTTATGTGCCTTTTTACTGTCACAACATCATTTTGCTGATCTGAGATCAGCACAGTGATCCTTCTCTTCGGGCTTTACTCTGTCTCTATCATTCATGTGGGGACATACTAGGGGGGTTATGCCACAGGTTTTCCATGTGACTACAAGTGTTTGCAGCGAGTTACTGCCACATAAATATCAGCAATTAGTAGGGGAAGAGCATTGCAAAATTTAAAGTCACACGCTCAGATGCAAAGAGCAAACATCCTCAGGAGGCAAACTGTGTTTGTCCAATAAATTTGCTACCTTGAGGTGACAGTAAAAGGCTACAAACTTAGACCAGTATTCCCAGTGGAGTCTGACATACCAACAATAAAGATATTTTCCTGGTTCTGTGAGCTGGAGCTCTGCACATGTGCTGGGGGAGATAAAGGCAGCAACTCAGAGCAGGCCTGAGATGTATGCACAGTGGGGCAGACTGAAATGCAGCTTAAAAATGTAGAGGAATTAAGGTCAGTGCAGTGTGTAAATAAATAAATGCCAGAATCAGACACAATGGAAAGGGGATTAGGATAGGAGCTATAAATCAATATAAAATAGCACGAGGGGATGGCCAGCTTTTTGAAAAGCCTAATTGCCATTAAAACATAAAAGTGTTAGAAATGAAAACTGGACCTGGTTGCAAATTAGCTTCACAGCCTGAACTTCAGTTCGTTCTCGATGTACACGGTCAGATTAATTCTTCTGCACTTGCATAAGGAAAAAAAAAAATCTGAGTGAGGTTTTGCATTCATTTTTTTTTCTAGGATAACTCTTCTGAAACCAGAGAATATGCAAGACGTAATAAAAATCACAAATCTAATAGCACCCTGACTTGTGTGCTGACCTGTTAACGAATTAGCTCGCATTTTCTTGTGCCTCTGTTAGAATCTGGAGTTTAAAAAGTGCATTACTTTGCAAGAAAACATCAAAACATAAAACCAATTTGTAATATATTTAACATACACCTTCATAGTGCTCTGAATTGTAATGAAAATCTCATTAAATTAGAAACAAAATCATATTAATAAAATAAGGACGAAGCTTGCTATTAAGAGTTGACTGCTCTTGGTTAACCAAGAAGCTGTCAACGCAGAAAGTGCCTGGGAAAGAATCTTTATCATTACCCAGGCAAAAGCACCACAAATTTCAGTATAAAACCCTGAGAACCTCACGCTAAAAATCCACTGAATTAATTGCCTCAGACCAAAAGCTAGCACTAAATGGAAAATCATTGTCACATTATTTCTGAGAAAAGATGGCAAGTAGACAGAGAAAAAAAAAAAATCTTGCAGTTTGGAGTATGTGTCTACAGTAAATCTCTATTATTTACACTAAAACTACCCTAGGTTGTCAAAGCAAAATGTTTTGCAGAGTGGAAAAAGTATGGAAAACATGATGAGACACTAAGTAGGTTTTTTAGTCCTCCTGCATTGACAATACCTGTGAATCTCTCCCTTTGCCAGCCTTCTCTGAGGACTTTTTTTTTTCTCCCCCCCCCCAAAGAAAGTTCAGACACGAACAATGTCTACTACACAGACAGTTTCTAAGCACTTAAAAGAGGTATAAACATAGCCCAAGGAAGGTTGCTGTCTGAGAAAATATGACACACTTGGCACTGTCTTCTCTTGTGAAAGAATGTTAATGGCAGGTTGGAGACTGCCAGCGATACCTCCCCAAGGTGAGGCAGTTTTCGGGGAGGAATGGCTCTACAAAGCCATGGTTTACTCTGTCCAAGCCACGTCATTAAAAATGTAATGATTATGGAGACCATATGGGTTTTTTGTTATAGAATTAGTCATTAAGTTCTGCCTTCTTTCCATTTAGAAACCGGTCTCGTAGGCAAGATGACAACTTTACGAAGAAAATAAAATAAGCACAGTTATAGTCTTTTTATACACATATATTGTAATAAAAGCCTTTTAAAAAAGCATGTTGGATGTTAATGTTTTTTTGCCAGTTTCACATACTATAAGAATGAAATACAGACCCACAAATTGTTCAGTTTTTCACTAACGGCTCGCCAAAAAAAAAAAAATCTAAGTAATAAAAAACAAATCCCCCAGTGGGCTGTAAGTAAAAAAATACATTTTAAAAGACAGAAAAACGCCAAATTTCGAACATACAGGATTACTTCAGGAATGGTGCCTGTGAAATGCACTTCACTCAACAGCACTTCAGTGCTAGCTGGAAACCTCTTCACTTCCAGGGATGAGGCATCCACAACTCCTCTGGGCAACCTGTTCCTCTCCATGACTCAAATCACCGGTGGAGTGGCAAAAAAACCCCCTTAATTATTAAGTAAGCTCTCTCTGACTGTTCCAGCTGCAGGGCTTATTTTTTTCCCAGAAAATACTGTCTTTTGCTTTTCAGAACCATCGAATCTTTGATAAATTTGAAAGCAATAGGTATTTTGAAAATCTTGAGGAAACTACAAAACAATCCAAGGCAGCTTGATTTTAATTCTGCATTCTGGAACACTACTACATTCTGAAAAACAAAACAAAACAAAAAGAGCCTAATAGGAATGCAATATTTTAACACAACAGGAGGACCTAATGGGGTCAAAATAGCTGCTACAATCATCCTTCTAAAGCTCTCTGCTTAAAAATCCTTACCAAATTTTCAGTGATAAAAAGGCCTTTATCTCTTGAAATAGGCTGTATAAACCCAGTCTTCATTTCTTTCAATTAGATAAGTTTTATCAGGCAAAAAAGCAGAAGCAGAACATTTCTAAGATTGCAAAGAGGATTACAATATAGTTTTCATAGTTTTTAAAGAACAAATTTTAATTTAAAACTATTGGATATCACTAAGCACTCAGTTCTTGTAGGCCTTGCAGTTCTACAAAAACCATTTAATGTATCAGCTCTGACTCAAAATATATATATTTAATGTATACATTTGCTTAGACCAGCCAAAATTATGTAAATCAAATTCCAGAAGATTTAAATGTCCTAAAGGATTTTTGTACTGGCTTGATTGAACCCATGTAAGATTGACTACTTTTACTAAATGTGTGAACTCATGCATAGACCAGACCCAGATATCTTCATTTTCTTTTTGAAAAGAACATTTAAAGCCTCTCATAATCAATGATACTGAAAGAAAATCAACATTTTGCCATACCTCAAATATAAAAATGTTTATATTTTACTGAAACATAACCCAGTGACAGAAATTCATATTTATTATATGAAACATTAGCGTGAATTACAAAGTACCATAGTTTTGTTTCATTAGGTGATGATTTACAGGGTATGCAGTGGAATGAGTTAATACTCTAAATATCCTCAGATCACAATCTCCTGCTTTGAAAAGTAAGCATTCTGCAAACATTTACTCTTTCGGTATGCTGCATACATTGGGATTGTTTCAGCCTGACCAAAAGTTTGCTGCTGCAAATAGAATGGTCAAGCTGCTTGAAGCATATTCAAGAATCTGCATTTTTACACTATTACTACTATTCTTCTATTAAGATTTGAATACTGCTCTCACACAGCTGAAAAACTAGCATGGTCCTGCCATTTCAGCCTATTTACTAATGTTTACAATGTGTGTTACAACCAGTGACTCAGAAAGTGGGTAGGCAGAGACTAAAATCTGTTTTGGAAAGCAGCTGGGCACAAATGGAACTGGATGACGTCCTTGGCACCTCCTCCTAAAGTGGTCAGGTTCAGAAGGGATGCTGGGTATGAATGAAACCCTCAGGCTCTTCTGAAGCTTGGTCCAGCCCAGAAATGCTGTATGGTTTGCTGTGACAGTGAGCAGACAAGACTCAGCGACTCAGATGGCTCTTGTGTTGCTCCATCCACCCCTATCAGCAAGGAAAGCGTCACAAATAAATTAATTTTCAAGAGCTACAACCTGCCATACCTTCTAACTTGACAACAGGAAAGTAACACTGAGTAGTTCCACCAAAGTCACTCAAATAAGAGTGACTTTGATCTTTTTCAGCAAATCCTCAGAGGTACTTGGGACCTAAAGGTGAAAATTGCCATCTAAAGTGTCCTGCCAGCAGCTACACCTCACTGACCTCAACAGACAGCACTGAGCTGTCTGGTTCTCTAAGCACATACCTGCGTCAGACTTTCCTCGTGCCTTCAGCACTCTGGTCCCAGGTGACTTATGCTTCTCTTGCAGCGCCACGAGATTGCTAGATGCTTAAAAAGGCTTACAGAAAACAAAAACAAATGAACAAAAAACAAAACAAAACAAAAAATCTGCCCTACAAGCCCTTCTGTATAACGGCTTTTAATGAAACTTGCTTACCTCTCGAGTCTGTGAACTTTTATTTGCCTTTACCAAAAAAGCAAGTTATTTCACTTGGCAGAAGCCACAAATTTGCAATTTTTTTTCTGAAAAGGCATAACAGCATGTTTTAAATTAAGAGTGTCTCATGGAAATCGGTAAAAGAACAAAAATGCACAAATGAACATTGTTTTCAAATATTTATTAAAACAACATACGAACATTTTTCGTCCAAATAGTGATTCTGCCTGCAGTATCTGTAACTTACCCCCAGCTGTCAGTTAAATAGCAATTAGTCTAAAAACCCAAACAATCCTCCCCTTCCTTCCCAATAGGCACTTTTGCTATTGTCTAGGACCACAAATAGCTTTATTAATAGCTTAGCTAGCAAAAGTACAAAGTCACCAAAAAGAAATATCACTCTGCTAGCACAGACAAAACCTTTTTGTCTGCTTTTAGAAGCATGCTCCTGGCTCTCAGATTTGGGATCCGAAACTCCAATCACCGCTAGGGCTCATTCCTTTCACTATAAAAATCTCCATCAGCATTCTCAGGGTCTGACATAAACCTTTTTGGCTGGTTCTTGGGGTTATGATAGCTTAGAGTCACAGACAGGCAGGCCTGGAAGAGTACAAATCCCGCCAGAATAATTCCCATCTTTCCGAGCACAAATGAAAAAAAAAATCACAGCTTTAAGTGACGTGGTAGAACAACGTTTAACGTGCATAGAATACGAACCATTACAAAAGCTTAAGAAAGTTAACAGAGGGCCAGAGGTTTCACCCTGAAGGAGTAAAAACAAACGCAGTTTAAGTATTTGCTACACACGAGGCTGGAAAGGGCTGCCGAGCACCACACTGCATCCACGCTTGTGGCAGATGGAGCCACGGTGGAACAGGTGATTTATAAACAAACAACAGGGAATCGGAGACGAGAAAGCCTACTTCACTTTGGAACCGAAGATGAATGATGTAACAGAGGTCAGAGATTTCTGAATACAGGATATTAACTTAAACGTTTACCTCGAGCGTCCTGGTTTATAGAACTGTGCTATTTGTTTAGAAAAAGTCAAATAGAATAAATAAAGGTGGTGCTTTTTTTTTTTTTTTTTTTTTTTTTTCCACGAAGAAGGATGCATTTTGGTGGAGTCACTATTCCTGGAAGCGTCCAAAAAATTAGCAGATGTGGCACTTCGCGACATGGTTTAGTGGGCAGGGTGGCGGTATTCAGTCGAAGGCTGGACTCGGTGATCCCGGGAGGTCTTTCCCAACCCAGGATTGTGTGCAAGGAGGTGCTCCTGGGGCTGTGCCGTCCGGGTTGGGGGGGTTGGCGGCAGGGCCGGGGGTCCCGTTTGAAGGCGGGGCGGGCTGCGCGGCTCCAGCCGGGGCGGGATGCGCTCTCAGGAGCGCAGATAGTCGTTCTTGAGGCGGCTGAGGCGGGCGCCGTGGCTGCGCACGGTGAGGGCCAGCAGGTCGTGCTTGTCGCGCAGCCCGCTGGAGATGTGGCGGGTCTCTCGGAGCAGGGCGCGGGCGTGCAGCAGCAGCCCCAGGAAGCTGTCGCCCAGGCGGGACTCCTCCCGGCCGCCCTGCTCCTGCCCCTGGCGGAACTTGCCCTCCAGCTCGCTCAGCGAGCGGTCCGAGCTGGAGTACGCGTCGCTGATCTGCGCGGACTCGCGGCGCAGGTAGGCGCCGTAGCTCTCCTCGCCGTCCAGGTCGTAGGAGATGCTCCTGCCGATGCCCTCCAGCACCCGGCCCGCGTCCTCCACCTGCCGCCCCAGCACCGTCAGCTCCTCCCGCAGGCTGAGCCCGCCGCCCGGCGCCGCCGGCCCGCAGCGCCGCTGCTCGCTCACCCGGAACAGCAGCTGGCACCGCTCGGGGTCGTCGTTCTCCTCGTAGTCCCCGTCGGGCACGAAGTAGTGGTGCAGGGTCCCGTTGGACATCTCCGGGTACAGCGGCCCCTCGAAGTAGCCGCGGCAGAGGCTGCAGAGCCAGAGCAGCCCCAGCAGGCGCAGGGGGCCCGGCATGCTGCGGCCGACGAGCAGCCTAGGGCCGCCCGCGCCCCATGGGTGTCCCCGGAGTTGTCCCCGGAGCCGCTGCGGGCCACCCGGGCCGAGGGAGGGCTGGCGGCGCTCTGGGCCCGGCTCCGCCACGCCGCAGTTTAAAAGCGGGGCATACCGCCCAGGGGGAAGCGGCCCCCGGGCAGGGCAGGGCCGGGCAGGGCCGCCCCCCGCCCCCGGCATCGCCCCCCGCCCCCGGCATCCCCACCCGCATCGCCCCCGCGGGGGCATCCGGCGCGGAGAGGGAGGGCGGGCTGCGGGAACGACTTTCTCTTCTTTTAAATAAAGAAACTCTCCCCCTACACCCGACGCGGCTCGGCTCAGCTCGTTTTCCCTGTTAAAGATGACTGCTTCGCTAGCAGCGCGGTCTGCACACAGCAGCTCGAACGCAGGGCTCGGGGCGGAGGGACTTGACGGAGTTGGCTCAGGCCACGTCGTTTGTCGCTGGTTGAAAAGTCAGGGGGGAAATAGACGAGATATCAAGTATAAAGTGTAAAGCAATAAACCTCGATAGGGAAGGTGGGGAAATGAAATGCAAAATCTCTCCATAAACAAGATGTCAGATGTGCTTGAGGAAAACCCCCAATACAGTGCATCCAAGGGAGCTGACTTTGGATTAATTTGGAGCTGAATTTGAAGTGTTTCTCTTTCATGAAAAAGTATTTTGGGTGAGTCTCATAGTGTGATTGTGTCAGGGTCGAACCGTGCACGCAACTTGCAGAAATCTCTCTTTATTATTTCTGAGTTGTTAAATCAAGGTGAGATCACAAAAAGAAAGGGTCTGTAAAGTTACCAACCCCTTTCACCATCATCTTTCCTCTTCCATGGGAAAAAAAATCACCATCTAGCGGAGGTTATACCAAATCCTGTAGTCATCCAGAGTAAAACTTACTGAATTGTTTTTAAGTAGGCTCTCCAAGCCCATGAGTCAGTTGGGGCCACACAAACATACACCTACATCCATACACACATTCATGAGCAATGTTTGTCAACTTCCTGTTGACAATCCAGGCCAGACAAGCTATCATAACAGAAACACTCTACTCGTTTGGAGACATTTTAGGTTTGTAATTAAGTTCACAAAACACTCATGTACACAGGTAAGTTTGGGCTAAGCTATTGTGCTTCAGCTTTCTATAAAACGTTTAAAGCTTATTCAGCTGAGGCTGTTTGGTGTTTGCCCTCGATCTGTGTTTGGCAACAGGGGCTTTTTGAAACAATTTTATTCGCAGGATGCTCTTGTTTCAACGAATATTTTATTTGGATACCGATTCTTTGTTAACCACAGTACATTAGTTTGCACCCAGCCTGGTTTGCCTGGCACTTGGTTTGGGGTGGACTCCACTTTTGAGGTCTCTTCGTGAAAGTACTGCCCTGTAAATTACCCAGCTATAGCTTTGTCTAGCATGGTTATGCTTTTGTCAGTGCCACAGAGGGTAAAAATCCAGCCTTAGTAAATATTTTGTCTCCTCATACGTTTAGAGATTAAGAGGTGTCTGCTGCTCCCTGCTGCAGCCGCTGACTCTCTGCCACTGCTGTTTTCAATCCAACATGCATTATCTGAGTTTAATTTAAATTTTACATCCAAATAGTCTCTCCCCAAGTAACCCACTTGGAATGTCTGCTTTCAAAGGCAGTCTGCAGTACAGGATCTGCAGTCTTGGTGACTCAGTGGGCATAGCTTTGGTGAAAACTGGAACTTGCTGAAAGATTCTCAGCATCCTGATCCAAGGCAATACCTATTAAGGGTCAGGATTAAGCACAACACAATTCAGATTTTAAACCAAAAAGCATGAAACAGTGGGAAAGATATAGGCTTACATTGACAGAACAAGGCTGTGCCTGAGTAGCCATTATCCATTCCAAAAGTCTTAAGACTGCAATGAGATAATATAATATGTATACCCTTAAACTGACCATGAAACCATGTGCACACAAATGAAAATCAGATTATTTTTTTATGAAAGACACACACTGAAAGTAACAATTGCCTTTATCCACCAAAACTTGGGTTGAAGGGTCAGACAGCTTCATCACAGTTAACAGCAGCAGGAACAGAAGACCACAGCAAAGGTTGCAGTAACAACATAAAAATCAGTGTCAGTGTAGAGTTTCCTAAAGTAATTTCTGGAGTTATCTGGAAGTTCAGAGGGCAGTAAAACTGAAGGAAGACAGAAGGGAATTTTTCAGGAATACCGGAAACCTGGGGTGCTGCGAACCAGGGAGGAGAGCAAGTCATTTTTCTGCTGAATGTTGTATTTTCCACTGGGAATCCATAGGGGTAGTTGCATGAGATCAGATATCTGGGCAGCTCTTGGGACACATCCAAGAAGCAGCTGTTCCTTGAGGCATGCTCCCATGAAGGCCCTCACTGAAATCCTGGCCTTGTCAAAAGAACCCATTGATTTCAGCATGACAGTACTTTATCCTCCATGCCTGCTTAAGCATTTAAAAATTCCCTCAGAATAAATGAGGAAAAAGTACTGGAGGCAAAGCTAAAGTAGCATACTGATACCGATACTGTCATCTCACAAATACTTGGCACGACACACTCTGCTGTGGTAAAGCCATTGTTTTTCCACTGAACAGCTGTAGTTTATAGTACTATAAAGAACTGCAGAATTTACTCTGCATGACCTCTTATGCCACAGCACCAAAATCAGGCTCCAGCCAAGAAAATGCCCATAAACTCACAGCAAATGCTGTCAGCTCAGCACTGGATTTCAGGTGACGCTTGTACACATCTTCCTCCATAAGCCATGCTTTATCTTTGGGGTTTGGCTCACACACTCTTGCTATTTCTGCTGCAGGTCGTGGTAAACTTTGCAGCATCATAATGTTTCAGGTGTAAATGGTCCATTAATTTGGAGAACAGATATATGGTGTTTGGTCCTGAAGGCCCCACAGGCTTAAAGGTATAAATGCTCTCTGACTACTGGCTTCTGTTTTCCTGCTCTGAACCGTTCTGTGGCTTTACATAAAGATACCTTGTTTAAACACGAGACTAACAAGTATATGTGTGTGATTCCTGATCCTAGGGTGCAGTGCTGAATGCTCAAATGGCATCAAGGGAGGTGGGCATGAAATAGTCCGTAAAAGAATAATGCCATTTTTTTTTTGTAGGAAAATTGCCATAAGAACATACCAGAAACTCTGCAGAATAAAAAAAGACTTGGTGAATGAAACCTTTATAACACACTTAATACTTATCCAGTATAACTTTGCAATACAACAGAGATTTGGAATTAATATGCTGAAGCACAAACCACACTGAATGTTCCAGGACTAGCACGCTTGTCTGGGATTACACTGAAATTTTCAGTTTATCAGAAAGGCATATTTAATTCAGCATTGAAACATCTGACCAAAATGCAAATTTCTAGAGGAAACAGCTTTACTGTTAGCTTGTTTAATCTTACTGATTCTGATAACCCTTTTCTTCATCACAGGCTTCAGGCTGAGACCACAAGTGTGTCTGAGCACAGAGTCCTCTGAGTCCATCAGTACTGGCCCTTCTTGGACAAGCAATACAGAAAACAAAATTAAAAAAACCGCACAAATAGCTATAGGAAAGATTGGGTATGAGGCTGAATGTGAACACAACTAATGGAAAGGGTCTGTCAGGCTGGTTGTCTCAGCAGAGTGTGCAATTATTGAACCTACTTCAGCTTTAGCCAACACCAAAATGAGCTCAGCTTTTGCAGAAAAATACGGAAAATGATTTTACCACAGCCCGTCTCTGTAGTGGATGCTGGTTTACTTTATGGAAATACTTTTCCTTAAATCAAAAAATTGAGGATATGCTCAATTTTTGGATATTTTTGAAAAGAGAAGTGGTGCGTCTGGTTGCTTCCTAAGACTGGGAAAAGAGAGATGAGGCAGAATGAATATTTACTGGTGTTTTACTAGTCTAGTTTCTGTCTGTTGACGAAAAACCTGAAACCCCAAAAGGGATATCGCTAGCATTTCTTCAGCAAGGTTCCTGAAGTGGAAATAATAACACTTCCTCAGTGGAAATGAAAACATTTAAAAAACCATCATCACTGGCCAGCACACAGAGAAGCTTTCCCACTACTGTAAATGTGGCTTGTTATAGAGACGGCATATTATGCTTTTAACATGTTGACTTGATTTTCAATCCTTTCTGTGTTATTTTTAAAGCTCGACATGAACACGAAAAAGTTGCGTATGAAAACATGTATTTTCAAGTTGTTACAGAAACACAGTTCACTAATTATTCCTGGTAATGCATTTTCATTCCCTCTAACCTGTTGGCAGTAAAATAAGATTTGGTTTAGGATTTTAAAACCCCACAAATTTTCTCTTTCCTTCTCTTCCTGTCTCACAAAACAGAAAAAGCTTGCAATTCTAACGTGCCCTGCTCAGCGGGGTTGGCAAAGAATTTGAATAAAAGCCCTGGAAGAAATCTAGGAGAGTCTGGTGAGGAAATGCTGATGTAACTTCCAATGGGATTAATCCTTTGATACGGTTTCCCCGGATTTGTATTCCTGTCATCTAATGTATTCATTTCAGGCAAGGCCTTCAGAACTGAAATTTTCTGAAAGCTGGATTTCATCAGGTCTGTTCTTTAGGCTAATTCCCCAGTAATTTAAAAACACCATATAATTTTCAGTTTTCCACGTTTATAAAGATGGCCTTTTCTGAGTTACACACACAGTCTTATGTGTTAAGATCAGGGATGAACTCCTGAATAAAAGCTAGATCCTGACACATTTTATACAAGTCAGTCATCAAATTTCCTCTTCTCACCTTTAAAGTCTCTGCCCATGAATTTGAAGGGGAAGCCTGCTTTTTGTAGTTTTATTAAACAAGTCTCCACAAAGGGTTAGACTTCCTATTCTCTGCTTCAGGTAAAAGTGAAATATTTATAAGAGTATCCCCTGTGCAGATAAAAGTAAAATAAGATGGGAAATATAAAAAAAAAAATCATAGGATTTAACTAGTTTAATCTCCTCTCGTCCATATCTTTCCAATTGTAGCACATAAAGAATAAATCCCCCATGCTTCTATAGTAAAA